CTCTGTTACTCTACTCTACAGTAAGAAGGTGGAGTCGGCATAAAGAGCTGTTTGAGTGAGACAAGGCAACCTATTGCCCATAGTCATAAGAGTTGCCACAAGATTTAGAGCAGACTCCCAGCTCATACGTTGGGAGGATACTGCAATTTGAGCAAGCCCAGTTTAACCATGTTAAATTTGTAGGTTTGGCATAGAATCAGCATGAGATGAGCATGGCTAGGACCAGGACACGTTGTCACCATAATAACAACTCTGATTTTACTTTTTTTTTTTTTTTCATGCCAAAGCAGTGAAGGAAATGCTTCCTTTTGGTGTTACACTCCAGAAGAATTTACCCAGATCCTACAGAGACACTGTATGATTGATATTGTCATTAAGAAATTTTGGCTACGTTTACCCTGCAGCCTGAAATGACCCAAATCCAGTTTTGCTTGCCACTAGCTGACCTGTATAAGATGTTTTTATGAGAGTCTGAACAACACAGATCCGATTTTTTCCAATGCGACCCAGGTCACTTGGCTACGTGGTCCTAATTCCGATACGTATCTGATCTTTTCAACTGCGATCTGTGTCTGAACAGCCAGGTATCCTTCATCCGACCTGTATGTTGTTAATACTTTATGAAGTTCACTATTCTGCGTCTTGTTATTCAGAGGCAGGAAGAAAAACAACAACCATGGCGGACAATAATGGCTAGAGCTCTCTCTCTTTTCAACTTTCTTGAAAAGATTACGTTGCTGCTGTAATCTGGCTCTGGCTCAGGATGGAAAAGAAATGAGGGATTGCACTTCCATAAGCTCACTACTTGTGATGTCATTGCATCCTTTCTTGCATGCTGGACACTTTAATTGTATGAGTGCAATTCACTCATTAAAAGATCAAAGAGGAGATAGCTTTTTCTCATTTCTTGCCCTTTCTTTTTTTCCCTTAAAGTCGTAGGGAAGTCATATTTACATTTCAAATCATTCTGGCTTTAACATGTATATAAATGTATTTTTTACCAGACCATATTATCCCAAAAGTTAGAAAATGTCTATTTAAAAAAAATCCTGTCCTTGAATATGTGGGTTTATTTTATGCAGGCCAGTTAGTTATATGTCAGCTTGTACACCTACATTCGGTCAATCATGTATCAGCACTGAATTTTATTAAAGTACCATGCAAGTTTAATTACAGTATAATGCGCTGTGCGCATACATAACTTTGGTAGACTACGTAACTTATTATATGCTGTGCGTCAGCTCTGCTGTGCCGCCGGTACTTTTTTTTAACAAGTCTGAAAATAAAGTTTGAAACTAATGCATAATCACAGCACAATACTGCGCAGTGTGCAGACATAACTCTGATAGCCTACAGTAGGCCTATGTAACTTGTTCTGTGGGTTGGCTCTGCTGTGCTGCCGGTGCAGCACATAAGGTTTGAAACAAAAGGTTTAATTGAACAACAACATAGAAGATAACTGCATAGGCTACAGAAAATTAAAGCTAGCCTACCTCTGTTTTGTGTTGCGGATCTGCTGCGCCATACTAAGAAATCACTTAACATATTTATTCATGGTTCCTTAGATCAGAGTGTTGTCCAACACCGAGTTCACTTCTTTTTCAAAACGATGTAAAAGGTCAAAGTTTTTTAAACCATCATGCAGGAGACCAGTCTTTCAAATGCAAACTGCATTCCTCATCTCAGCTCTGGAAGACACAACAGTCTCCTGTTCTTCATCCTCCTCCCCTTGTACGCTCCTGTACCTCCGAGCTAGCTAGGCAGAAGCAGAAGCAGATGCCCAGAAAGGAATCATGGCAGTAAAAAAAATAAAATAACTAAAATTAGTTATTGCACATGTTTACATTCATAAAATGGCCATAAATTAACACTATAAGCGGATTTCTTGATTACTTGATTAATTATTTAAACAGCATTTGCATAGAAATGATTCTGTCCCAAGACTTTTGATCTATATAAGCGGTTGATTACTATATCCTTGACCACTATAAGCGGATTCTACTGTATGTAGATATTGAATTGTTATATACACCAACAGCTCGACCCTTCCAGGGAAATAAACAAAACAAGAGTTTTCTTCAGTTTCAGCTGAAATACATATTGGAAAAATGAAATTAATGATTTTCATTATTGTCTCTACTCACTTCAGCACAAATGCTGCTTGTGATGAGGGATACCAGTCAGTAGAGCTCTTGCCTCTGTCGCTCACAGCATGAATCATTTCTGGTAATAGCATCATATTAATGATTAAAAATTAATGATGTAGGTGGTCTAGACAGCTCATCAATTCACCCCCACAAAGAAAGGGATTATGAACAACTGAGCTGTGCAAACTGCTTTGTTGTTGTTGCAGTAACTGAATTTTCTATCCAAAATAAATCTATTGGCTAAATAACATAATAATCTCATTCAGCATTTGGAGGGTTTGGATGTTAATGAATAAGAAATACTAGATTTACAGTAGCACAAGTATCCATTTTAACCTTGGGGAAACAGGTGAAGCTCTACATGCTTCACATTTCGCACACAAAAAATAATAGACTCTAAATAATTCAAAACGCATGAATACACAATATGTAGAGAGCAATCGTTTCACTCCTCTAAGAAACATGACATACAGTGAGGAAAATAAGTATTTGAACAACCTGCTATTTTTGCAAGCTCTCCCACTTAGAAATCATGGAGGAGTCTGAAATTGTCATCATAGGTGCTTGTACATTGTGAGAGAAATAATCTAGAAAACAACAAAGATATTTGAAATCACAATATATGATTTTCTAAATATAAATTTGTATAATACTGCTGTAAAAGAGTATTTGAAGACCTGTCTATCAGCTAGAATTCTGACCCTCAAAGACCTGTTAGTCTGCCTTCAAAATGTCCACCTCCACTCCATTTATTATCCTAAATTAGATGCACCTGATTTAGGTCGTTAGCTGCATAAACACACCTGTCCACCCCATACAATCAATAAGAATCCAACAACTAACATTACCAAGATGAAAGAGCTGTCCAAAGACACTAGAGAAAAAAATGTACACCTCCAAAAGGCTGGAAAGGGCTATGGGGAAATTGCGAAGCAGCTGGATGAAAAAAGGTCCACTGTTAGAGCAATCATTAGAAAATGGAAGAAGCTAAACATGACTTTCAATCTCTCTCAGACTGGGGCTGCATGCAAGATCTCATGTTGTGGGGTCTCAAGGATCCTAATAAAGGTGAGAAATCAGCCCAGAACTACACGAGCTGGTCAGTGACCTGAAAAGAGCTGGCACCACCATTTACAAGGTTGCTGTTGGTAATTCACTAAAGTCTGGTTTATGATCAGAAACCAGGTCTTCTGCGTGTGTCGTAGTTGACGCACAACGCCTTGGACACCACAAACACTATCCCAGACACCGTGCAGAATAATAGTTCATAGCTCTGTGGGATGGTCTGTTGGTTTGCACCCGAAGCCAAAACACGCAGCACCACGGCCAGTCTTTTGTGAACACTCGTGGGTGAACTGTGTGTCGTCCTGCGTTATATGAGGGGTTGTAGACGGCGAACAAGCTCGTCAAACCGACACAAAGACACCCACAATCCTAGCTAGTTCATGTTGTCCCTCTTGTGTTGTAGCGTGAAATAACATAGTGCCGACCATGCTTCAAAATTGGGAATAAATCAAAAACATCTGTGTCATACCTGCGACAAGCTAACTGCGACACACTGCGGCAGGAGTATACAGAGCCCTTAAGACATCATGGTTCGAAATCATGCATGGTTCGGAAGGTTCCCCTGCTTATTTCAGCCCATGTCAAGGCCCGTCTATATTTGCCAATGACCATTTGGAAGATCCAAAGCAGTCATGGGAGAAAGTCATGTGTTCAGATGAGACCAAAATAGAACCTTTTGGTCATAATTCCACTAACCCTGTTTGGAGGAAGAAGAATGATCAGTACCATCCCAAGAACATCATTGCCACTCTGAAGCATGGGGGTGGTAGCATCACGTTTTGAGGTGTTTTTCTGCATATGGGACAGGGTGACTGCTCTGTATTAAGGAAAGGATGTCCAGGGCCATCTATTGCGAGATCTTGGGGAAAAACCTCCTTCCCTCAGTTAGAGCATTGAAGATGGGTCAAGAATGGGTCTTCCAACAGGACAATGACCCGAAGCACACGGCCAGGACCAAGAAGTGGCTCTGGAAGAAGCATATCAAGGTTCTGGTGTGTCCTAGCCACTCTCCAGACCTAAACCAAATCTAAACCAATCTTTGGAGGAAGTTCAAACTCAGTGACAGCCCAGAAACCTCACTGATCAAGAGCAGATCTCTGTGGAGGAGTGGGCCAAAATCCCTTCTGCAGTGGGTGCAAACCTGGTGTAACACTACAGGAAACGTTTGACCTCTGTAATTGCAAACAAAGGCTAATGTACCAAATATTAACATTTATTTTCTCAGGTGTTCAAATATTTATTTGCAGCTGTATCATACAAATAAATTGTTTAAAAAATCATACATTGCTATTTCTGGATTTTTTTTTTTTTTTAGATTATGTCTCTGACAGTGAACATGCACCTACAATGACAGTTTATGATTTCTAAATGGGAGAACTGGCAAAATAGCAGGGTGTAAATAAGTAATTCTTATTTATCTCACTGTAATTTAGCTTTAACCCATGTGCATTCCCAAATGGGGCATAATCTAGTTTCTGTGAGAAATTCATACCCAGGTGAATGAGGTATAGAACACCATGTCTGTGTCATGCTCTCTGTGTTAGAGGTGAACCGTCTCTCTTTGCCAGTGAGGAATTCACACACTGCTGGAGTTCTTTCGTCTCATTCCTCTCCCCTTCACACCTTGCTCCTTACTTGGAATATGTATCTTTACTTTGTTGAAGTCTTGGGTTTGGTTGAAATCTTTAGAGGATATTGTAAAATATCTTGTTTTTTTATGTCAAAATAAAATTGTATTGAAATCACACCTCTTCCTTATCCTGACATTTTCTACTTCTGTCTTACCAGGTGTTTCCTATGGTCTTGGTCTCTGAGGCCTGAGGAGAAACAAGCCAAGCCCAGGCCCCCATGGGACGCCATTTTACCCAGCATGCACTGCTGCTGCTGCAGTGCATGTTGGTCCTACATCTTTGCAGTGTGGCCAGTAGGAGAGGACCGGTGCTACTACCTGAATCTCCCTGCCACAAGACAGAGCACCCCCTGATCCCACATTCAGGTGAGTTATCCAATAAATACATGCCAGGAGAGGTCCGTCCATGACTTACTCTCTTTTGGCACATCATACAGTACAAACAAGTAGCAGTTATTCACCTTCTAAACTTCCAATAAATATGTATCAATATATGATGTTATATGTATTAATATATGATGCAGTTTTAATGTGTAACTACAGCCCTGTGGTTTAGTGCCAAAGCAAAGTTTGCAAAATATATACCTTTATATTGTTAGCCAACTGTTGTGTACTGTACTGTTGCATTTTTTCAGTGTATACCATTTTCAAAAAAGTGATGGAATGGACATGTGAGTAATAAACCACAAAGTTGTGCATTGCGCAACTAACAGAAAACTACTGCTACCCGAATTTTTTATGTTATTAGAAATGTCTTAAAAAAAAAAAAATCCTGTTGTTAAATGATGTTCCATTATTTTGCAGCTTTTTCTATTCCAGTATCTTTATCTCATTAATCGTCTTTGCATACATTGTCTTTTATTTAAATCCTAACATTTGAATATAACACAGTTGCTAGGAGACTTCAACTGTATTACTAAAATGTCTCTGCTTTTTTATAAGTAGACTGATAATCTCAGACAAAGAAGTAGCTTTTTTTATAAAAGGTCATTTATTTCTCGCATTATTTGCACTGTTTATACATTACATTTTGTGACAGGTACACCCTTTATTTATTGCATAGCATTATGTGTCTACCCACACCGAGTTATATCTGTTTCTATGAAAATAAACTAAGGTTGTGTCTGTACTTTGCAATTTGGAAAGGCTCTATATTTTAAGACTAGCCCTTCTTATTGAAATGGTTCATTTACTGCGGCTTCTGACTTCTGGTTTGAAAAAAGGCCTTTAAAATATTTTTTTTTATTCCAAGATTAGGAATAAAATCAACTCACCTTCTGACATTAATATGATTAGTAAAAACAAAAGAAAAAGAAAAACAGAGGGCCTATTGGATGATAAGAAAGGGAAATGTATGTGCACAAAAGTAAATTTTGCCCCACAATTGCCGAAAATACCATTAACCTAAGTGAACATTTTTTTCTTTGTAGCACTATTGCTGCAGCTGGAGCCACAGCTTGGTTGTAGTGTTCAGTGTTAGTGACTTTCTGCAGCATGCTTGCAGCTGCCTCATGTTCAGTGTGAGTTCAGTGTTACAGCGTAGCAGTCTTGTTTTCTTATTAAATCTGTTATTAATTATTTGACCACTTACTGATTCCTCCATTAAGTGATCTTGAACTCTCATCTCAGGGTGGTCAGTTTATCATAAAATATGAAAAAATACTTAGCTTCTTCTGTCCTGACACCTTAGCAGACCAAGCAACCTTGATCTAAATATACAGGTTGTAGTCAAACTGCAAGAGTGTCTGAAGGGATTCACTATCTTCATGGACACAGTAGGCTTATATTTCTCAAAGGTGTGCACAACTTGTTTATACACTGTACCAGGGTTCTATCGTTAGGATTAAGCTAATGTACTGTAGTCTGCAACAGTGCTCCAACCTTGCATCACATACTATATTTGGGGAAATTTATTTTACTCAAAATAAAGCTATCCTAATTTTTAATTTGAAAAGTAGGAAATTTATTAAGAAGGGAAGGTATGCAGTAAACATCCAGTTAAATCTTAAATGCTGTAAGTAGTCTCAGCAGACCCATTAAAAATTTTGTTTCTTGAAATAGGAATATAAAAGTGCCACATCTTTTTGCCATTTTAAACTTATTAGCAAGCCTCATTCTTATAGTAAGTGCCTAGAGAATTATTGAAATTATTGAGATTTTTGTTTGTGAAACATTTAAGGATAACCACATTTTTTTTTGTTCACAATTCTGCTCTATTTTGTATCTTTCACATAACATCCCAATTCAAATACATTAAGTTTTTCTGGTTGCAGCATGACAAAATGCATAAATATTCTTTGGCAAGGCACTATTATTGTTTTAAAACCGTCTCTTAACTTTTATTTTTCTGCTTGCTTGCCCCAATAGATTCTTGGAGACAAAGTGCAGACAGATTCTTCTGTCTGTACTGTCTCCACATTGCTCTGCATTTTTAGGGACTCCATCAGGCTTTGTTTTCTCTATATCTTATCTTATATTGCAATTGTGCAGCTTAACTGCAATAAAATGCAATATGACCCAGTCGACAAACGGTTCTGGTGGCAATCAATTCAGTCCTGTCTACTCCTTACAAAATAGTAAATGTCACTAAGCTGTTTTCATTTCAGCAGAATCTAAGACAGATCGTTCAAAGCTTAGTTTTTGAAACTGACTAGAGGACCTAGGCTAAAGGGTGAGATTCAAATACATGCATAAATTTAATCAATAGAGACATAAGCATTCTCCACTGAAGTCCTGTTTTTTCTCCACTGTTTGTCTTGCCACTCTCTGTCATTAAAAATGTTGAAACTGAATTGGTACTCTACTCTCTTCGTCAACTGAGTGGCAATGATTAGGACTAAATGGCCTGTTATACTCCAGCAGCAGTGTGTCACAGTGAGCTTGTCGCAGATATTTTTTAGTTTTGCCCAATATTGAAACATGGTCTGCGCTATGTTATTCCACGCCACAAAGCAAGAGGGACAATCACTATCTAGCTGTGTGTCTAGATACGGCCGAGTATCTAGGAAGTGGGGGCAAGTTTGTGCGACAACGGAGGGACATGAGGGCGAAAAAGAGCGGGGATCCAGGTGGAAAAAGGGTTCCAGTGTTCTTGCGCCCCTCGCTCTTCTAGCTGGTCCAACTTAACGAGTCGTTTTCCACAATGGTTGCCATAAAAACAAAACAAGCTGGTAAGGTATGAAACAGGAAATGCACATAGAGTAAAGCAGATGTAGATTTGACCAATCAGAGGCCTACTGTCTGCGTCACTTTCTGCGGTCACCTACAATGTTGGAGAGGTGCACCAAAGTGTCTGTGGAGGGGGCGGAGGGACATTGGATTCACTACAACACACGCGCAGACAACCTAGTAACTGTCCAGCTAGTGTGATACATTCCATGATTGTTCTGGATGCAGTTACTGGCTCCAGGTTCAACACCGGTCAGTGATTTTGTGTACCTAATGTTCAAACGGAAAGAAAAAAATAAAACACATAGATATGTACTTACAAGGGCTGAAACAATTAATCGTGATTAATTGATTATTGAAATAATCGTCAACTTAGTAGATGATTAATCGTTAATAGGAGTATAGACTCTAAAACATGCCTTTAGCTGACAGAGCCAACCCACTTAGACCAGTAATTATACCAAGATTGTAAAAAATACATCAACATTTTGCATTTAAGCTATATAAATAAAAAAATTTTGTCCTAAACTCCTCTAGTGGGAAAGTTTTTAGTTTAATTTAATAAAAAGTCTTCTTTTTAGTAATTTAGTAAAAAGTCTTTTTTTAAAGAATCTTTGGCTATCTGATGATTAATTAATTAATCTGAAAAATAATCGAAAGATTAATGGATTTTCAAAAGAATTCGTTGCAGCCCTAGTACTTACTACTGTATAGTGAAAATCTTGTTGCTGTTTGACGTGCTGAAAATGCAAGTAAAGCTATTATCTACAGTAAACTCAAACTGTCTGTGCTGAGTTTAGATAATAGATCTTATAAATTAATATTTATGTAGGCAGAAGTGACTTGTATAAAGACAAATGAGTGTTGAATATCTCTGCATTTGTTTTGTAAAAGTTGCTAAACATTCTTTTATATGAAATGTTTACACAATGATGGCAACAACCAAAAACTCCTTAGGTTTTTGGTTGTTTTCATCATTATTACCAAAGACAAAATAAAATCTTGTCTTTAGTAATAAAAAAATATATATTTATTTTAATCCATTAATCAGAGCCAAGACATTAATTTGCACTGATTAGGAACTGTTTCCTAAATCATGACACATTTACTGTAGCCTGGTAAATGTATTTATAGTAGATACCTGATTAAATCCAGATGTTCAGAATCAACTTCAGATGAGAATCATATCTCAGTGACTCCTTTTAAAATATTCCAACTAAGAAAACATTGAGGTGTTTTATAGTTAACCCACTCTGTGTCTCAGTTGTTTTAAAGCCATTCCTTTCATTACCTAAAACCCTTGAGATTATTCTTTTCTGTTTCTTTTTTCAAAGATTTTAGGACAAAATCTCTTTCATACTTATCCTATCTCTCTCTCTTTTCATTTGAGTTTGTACTTGTTTCTCAATCAGCTCCTTCTTCTCAATGTCCCTTGAAGACCTTGAAGTATCACTGTTGTTCCATTTGTTTTAAACTTATATTCGTTACAGTTTTTTAAAAAGTTAATATCTGCTAAAAATCATATTATTGTTTTAAGTTGTAAGGTCACAGACTTTCAAAGACTGCAGAGATATAGCTTGAGTTTTTTTTTGCAGGGAAAGCACAATAAGTTGAGTCATTACGGAATATCCAGAGATAAACATAGGCGGGAATAATTACACGTATGCAGAATGTCTGTGTGAGGGAGGAGAAACCACTCGTTAAACCTATTATTCTTCTTTGTGAGTCATTGTGCTAGATATAATGTATTATAAGCCTTTGTTGTTCTAAATGTGCAGTGTGAGGCTGCCATGATTCTCCTTTGGCCAAGCTGAGAGAACTACAAACGCATTCAAATACCCTATTGACCATTGGACCCATAAGCTCCCAATCCGCTCAGACAAACATTATCTTTTTTTGACACAAAGACTATATGTTGGCTCTTGGTCACAGAAAAAAAATAAATAAATAATAAAAAATAAAAAATACATAGATTTTTAGAAAGGGTCAATTTGTGGAGTCAATATTTATGATGTCATAAAAAAAATGTTTCTTTCTTTTCTTTGTTGCGATCAGACTTTGATACTTGTTCCTTTGTAAAAATTCATTTTTATCAACAATGTTATTTAAAATTAGCTGATTTGAATGCAGATTCTAAGTGCAAATCATAGACTGTGTAGAGTTTTGGATTAGTCTCCAATCTGCCCCCATGTGATCCA